AGGGCTCGTTCTCGAGTGCCATTGGCTGTGATTACTACCACTTTGGAAGGAACATCGATAGGGATTCCTAATTTTCTTCTTAATTTATCAGTTATGATACTAACTGTAGCTCCTGAATTCAGGACAGCTTTGATTGTATTTCCTTTAATCTGGACATAACATTTTGCAGCGGTTGTTCGTTTTTCCTCAGTTGCAACATGATTAGTTTCTTTTACAATAGGTCTTTTCAAAATTTTAGAGAAGTTTCTTTTTTAGTCTGAATAATGTTAGGGATAGGAATCGCGATTACGGACTCGCGATTAATCGCGAGTCAACTATATATTCGAGTCGAATTTTGGTAAACGATTAATCGCGATTTTCATAATCGTTGAAAATCGCCGATTAAATCGCAATATTCATAATCGTTTATATTAATTTGATTATCAATGATAATTAAATTAATATATATAATTTTAAAAAAATTTTTTCTTTTATCAAACCATGAGTGATAACAAACCATATGTATATATAAAACCTTTAGGAAAGGTTCCTGCTATCGAAACAGTTGAAAAAAATGCCACTACAAAAAAAAAGAGGAAGAAGGGGTAGAAGGAAAAAATTATGAAGTATATAGAAAAAGAGAAGTGATGGGAAAAAAAAGTGTTAAAGGAGGGAAGCTAAGAGATGAGAGGGATGAGAAAGATGAGAGGGACAAGAGAGATGAGAGGGACGAGAGGGATGAGAGGGACGAGAGGGACGAGAAGAACGAGAGGGATGAGAGGAACGAAGTAGAAGAGAGGAACGAGGTGAAAAATGCCAATTCCAAAATCGCTGAAATCGCCGATGCCGAAATTGCCAAAATTACTGTCGGGAAAAGGGAAAGAGAAAAGTGAGAAAGGAGAGGAGTGAAAGAACAGGAAGAAATATTGGAAAGGGAAAGGAAAAAAAAGGAAAGGGAAAACTCTGAAATCGCCAATGTTGAAATCGTTGAAATCATTGAAATCACCGAAATCACCGTTACCGTCGTCAAAAAAGAAAGGGAGAAACGAAATAGGAAAGAAATAAAAGAAGACAAAAGAATAGCAAGGAAGAAACAGGGAGGAAAGAAAAGGAAAGAGAAAAGAGAAGAGAGAATGTATGAGGAAATAGATGAGAAAATTGAAGAAAAGAGTCTAGAAGAAGAGGAAGAGAATAACAATAACAAAATCATTGCGGGGGTCTGATACAAATATCAAAGAGGAAAGAAAGGAAAAGAAAAAGTAGTAGAATATGAAGAAAATAATGCTGAAGATGTAGAAACCACTAATTTTCTAGATGA